TATATATATATATATATATATATATATATATATATAATATATATATATATATATATATATATNTATATATATATACATAGATGCATACACACATACAATTAATATATTTACTACCTATGTGTGTAGTTGCGTCGACAATAGACTTGAAAAGAGTATATTGTCCAGATATGTATTTCAAATTTAGAACTTTTTTTATCAGGTATTCATAGGAACGTATAAGATCTGCATCCTGATATACTATAGTGTCATCTAGGGATACCCATTTTGAGCTTGCGTCTCAATAAGCCATTTGAATACGAACATGTAAATGAACGTTAGCAACAACATAGGCATATATATCGCTCGATCCCGACCCCATGGAAAGTTGTAGGTCACTAAAATGCCACAACAAACTTTGTCACGATACTTGCATCGCTAGGACCATCGTGGTATTCTCTCAGATTACCACACACCTCGTTCACTTTCAACTCCACTTTCATCGCAGTGAGCTATAGTAGATGTGAGCGTGGAGTTGATCAAATATCGCGTGTTTGTTAGTTTCTCAACTTTGAAGTACAACATACAATGTTGAAATGTAAAGTTGTACGTCGAAATCACGCATCTTGCAATTTACCGATATTTTGCAATGGCAATGCATAAGATGCGACTGCAATCTCATACACGACTATATTTGGTAATACATATTTTCTGCAGTGTCTACTTCATTATAATTTTGATAGAAGATCTTTTTTATGTTCACATCCGTATCCGTCGCGCGTAGTTTTTTTTGCGCCAGGTCTAGCTAGGCATGACTTCCCGATAGCTATTTCATGCGCTTATGAATTATTGATGCTTGTAAACGGTTGTACATATATATGTACACGTGTGTCAACGTGATTGATACTATTGTACACAAGCACGCATCTACATGCATTCCATCATCATGGGCTGTACTCATATGTATATATGCGCACATATACTTTTATGTGCACAAAAATCGACACGGAAATACGTCCACAGTTTATGAGAATAAAAAAAAACCAGAGCCATAACAGGATACTTGAACGCACGTTTAAATATAGCAGTTTCATATGGCTAGACACCCTCATCCCATACCGTACTTGAAGGCAAATCGAGACCAGATTGGCACACATTTCGAACGATGGCAATTCGTAGCAGATATAGATGTAATAGTCATACACATTGCGCTTATGAAAGCTATCACAACTCCGCACGATTTCTTAGAGACTCGTACACACCCTGTACCGACACCACAAGTGAATTCAGCACACTCTGATGCATTTACCTGTGCTTGTGCCTGTTCATTCGCGACGGTCAGGGCGGCTATCTGTTTCTTGTCGAGTTGTTGTGCTTCAGACTGTTCACGGCAACGACAAAAATTGTGGAACGTTTCAGATTACCGTCATCTTGAATAAGGCGAACCCGTGGGAACAAACGGTCTCGAAACATTAGAGGTGCCAAGACTGTTCGACGCGTTCGAATTGCACGGAGCAATGACATGTGTTTAGATACAAGCTGAAAAAGTCAGAAATGAATGAAAGCACGGAGGGATATAACTTAGACAGAGATACAAATAGCCATACATCGAGAGGGTGAATGATAAGATAGTGTGTAATAGCCGATATCGTGTACGTTTTGATATATTCATACAAATAGGTATATGCAGAGAGCCGCAACTCAGATGCTTTGCAACTGGCTACTCTGTAGCCTAATGTCATACAAATGTATACAGACAACATACATATAGAGTAACCTGCTAAGTAGTGCTAAGTAGGCGTACCGCAGTTATCTAATTGTGGGAGGCCAAGGTACATTTACAGAGGGTTTATTCAGATTTTTTTTAGCGGGTTGGCTATGTTTGGCTGTGAATGTACAATATTCGCAGTCAATTCGCACCAGCATGGCTGAGGAAGATACCGACTACAAGATGAGAAACATGTAGTAGGCGGGATGTGTAAGATCCGTGCTCATAACTTACGTGCTGGTATTCCAGCTCGATGCCTCGTTTCATTTGACTGTCAAGTTTGTCTTTGAGAGCGCCGTTCTCCTCCTAATAGATAACATGAGTTTGAATTGGGTCAGCGGTAATTTTACAAACCGACAGACTCTTCATGTTTCCTTCAGCATATATAAACTATCTATACACACACACACACACACACACACACACACACATATATATATATATATATGACATCCTTTTGAGAAAACCTATCGACGAGTCAACACGTATATACACCGAAACCAGAACGGATACAATAAAACGAAAACACACACGGCGGCTCCACGCGTGCGTACAAAGAAAAGCCATCGATTCCCAAGAACCAGTGTTTGGTATATATCGGTAATTATATAGTAACAAACACATGATTTTTATACTCTTTGTACCTATCTTAGTAAATAACTAAGCGATCAAAGCAAATACTGGGAACTCTTTCCTGCCGTACAGGGTATGTGTATAGCAACAGCTACGACTAACGTCAAAAAGAGAATTTTTTTCTAGCTCTCAAAAGCTCTAATATTTGAAATTAAGGCGACATCGAAACACACAGCGATTGACCTGCACACCACAAAATACTGATAGTGGCCGTAGATTAACGTGGGAATAAAATAAATTATACTCCAACTATCATCGGTATATAGAGACTTACTTGCAGGCGCTGTGCGTCGTCAAGCACCTGAATGAATACAGTAATGTGGTATGTCGAATCTGCACTGTTAGAAGCGCACTCAACAGTTCAAGAAAAACCAAATATGTTCCTATATATATACACGTGTACGATTTTATTGTTATGCTATGTAGGTGTGCCGAAGGGGTAATTTTAGTGAGCTTTTATGAGCTACTCAAGTGAGGAGCAGAGTTCAGGCTGGTATCTTTGCACATCAAGAGAATACATGAGAAAATTAAGAGTTTCATCTATCAATAAATTTGGGGTGTAAATAGACTCATGGGTAGGTTAGCACGCAAGCAAGTATAATAATCATGTTGTAGCTGAAGAATGATACATCAATCATACATACACGACCTGGAGAAGGCTTTGTGTCCTCGAAAACGTGCTGAAGCCCCACGTGCACACGTCAGGTGCATAGGTGCATACCAACCTTTGGAAGGCCTGCCGTAACACGTCGGAGGACTTGTCGCCACGTGGTCTCAGCGTTCTGTAGTACAACCGAGAATATAGAGATCGGTCAAGCAGGAACCCATACAGGCAATTGCTCTGGAGGCAACCGGTGAGTGTAACCGGGAATACAAAGATCTGTCAAGCAGGAACCCATACAGGCAATTGCTCTGGAAGCAACCGGTGAGTGTAGCTATACTCGAGTGCGGCTACAGATGCAAATGAGAATCGACGGTCGAAAGCGGATTTAAAGGAAATCGAAATCAGAATTCGATTGAAACTACCGCTGAGTAGTGAGTGGTTACTAGCAGTAAGTAATATGTAATGTGTACGTGCAATATCAAGAACAGGTTCTAAGCACTATCCAACTGTCCCGGTTAGAGTGGAAAACCATGAATACAACTGGCTATCGACTCTTCGCTCCTTGTTTACAGGTAGTTCTGTAGTATTATTAGTAGATCTCTCGCTCACCTTCAAGTTCAAGCCAACACCACTGAAAACACTTCATAGTCTACAGATGATAGGAATTATCGAGGGTATTGAAATTAAGAGCGCATACAAAGCACCTGCGCGATACCTTTAGAGCTGCTTTCGGATCATCGTGCTTTACAGCTGAGCTTGAGCTGTTGGCCCTAGGCTCCATGATCATCTACTCCAAGTTTCAAGAACTGACTGGAACAGCCCGACGTGACTGATACAGGAGAACGTGATATAGGTGCTCTGGCTAGTTATCTCGGGTTTAGTGTCTCTGACCCTACTATGTCAATTTGTCTTTGCTTTGTACTGCTGACGGATTTGAGGGACATCTCCAGACGTAGTCACAGCAGCTTTTTAACAGAAACTGCTGGTTATACCATTCTATAAATACATTCTATACAGTAGTATATGTAATATAGGTCAACCATTCAATAAATACATGCTGTACAGCAGTATATGTAAAATAGTTAAACCATCCAATAAATTCATTCTATACAGCAGTATATTACTACAGCAGCATATGTAATATAGTGGAACCATTCAATAAATGCATTCTATACAGCAGTATATGTAATATAGGTAAACCATTCAATAAATACATTAAATACAGCAGTCTATATAATATGGTTAAACCATTCAATAAATACATTCGATACAGCAGTACATGCAATATAGCTAAACTATTCAATCAATAGATTCTATACAGCAGTCGATGACACAGTATTTATAAGGAAGACTATGTTCGACCCGGAACTTGCATGTACACACACTAACGGGGCCACAAATGGATGCCAACAAGTGCCTCAAATTCAGTAGTTAGAAAAAGATGTCGTGGATATGATTCTGATATAAATAGGAATGCGCCACTCAAATTTGAGAGTATACTATGAAGGACACGAAGCTTTCACGGAGCGCCGAGGAAATACGAGTGGTTGCGCTACTAACACGGCATATGAGACACTCGTGGTAGAACTTTTATTGTACCGATCGAGACGTTAGATAAAATATAGTATAGATATCCTCAGAAGTTATAGTATACTTTGCAAAGACGTGTCCAGCAGATACACAAATATACCTGTAGTATGGCGAAAAGAAATATTTACTGCCAGCTTTATTGTGCGTTAGGTGATTTAATGCTTTCATACTGCTTGCTGGAAGCGCAGAGATAGTCAATTAACACTATGCCTAAGATGTTATAAATGGATTGGTACTTGCACTCTCCAGCCTAATCTATCAGAGAACACCGAGTGTGATGTACAAGACCATGGTTGAAACAGTCGGCCAAGGGCTGCAGCCGAATATTTGTGTATGCAATTTCAAGAAACCATCGCCAAATAGGACTGGATACGCAATGGCTTGTGCATGTATACAAATGGCGTATGTCCTATCTAGATATTAGAATCCCTTGACATTTGAGAAAGCTATCCGGAGTGCAAGAAAACAAAACAAAACACACACCCTCAGTTGAATGTACTGGTACGGACCGAGTTTCATCTATGTTGGCGTATACCTGTGCATTGGTGTAACTTCATCAGCTAAAGTTGCCACATATGTATTTACTCTATCTGTTGCTGAGCCCAGACCGGTACAATTAGACATACCGGCACTGTGTGAAACTCCTCTCTCACACACGTAGATGACCTTGTGTGTGTTTTATGGTCGCCTTGTTAATTGTACAAACTACTACACAAACTACCACGCAAACTACCACGCAACGCCACAACACTGCCCGACTATTCTATACAAACCCAACACTAAAGAACCTCAGCATACTAAATAAGTATGCACAGTGTGACTCTGGCCACCCTACTTGTTTACCAATATATATCAATATATTTATATGAATATATCATATAGCCTTCTCAAATACATACTATGAAGTATGATATATATAAATATATATTTACTTGAAATATAGTGACTTTCGTGTGTGATAACTCCCCCTATATTTAGTAATTAGTTTCATCGATGATAAAAAGTTCTACCAATATAAAAATTTCTCCCCACCCGAAATCGAATCAGGGACCTACCGATTGATGTAACCACTACAGTCGGTTGCTCTACCAACTGAGCTATAGAGAAGACGAACAGGTCTGAAGATGTAACAATAAATTATTTGAATTGAGTGAAGTTTTAAAGGTAAAACCGAGTATTGTTTTCAAGTGTCACTATTTATTGTGACCTATGGTGCACTCTCGTATATATAGGGTTTTGGGTAATTAATTTTCAAGTAGGAACCATCAATACTTTTTGGGTAATCAATTCAAGTATTTAGTAAACATAGAACCATCATTACTGGTCCGATTTAAAAAGAAATATTAGCTAGGTAGAGGAAATTTCTTAAAGTGATATTACTATGTAGATAAATAATGCGGAAGATACGTCTCTCACGTGAATTACTCATAAAATCCAACTCAATGAAGAATACACTCTACGTACAGAGGTGGATCGCAGCGCTGATATGTGTCGAGAGACAAAGCTTAATGAAGATCACCACGTTCAGCGTTGCACGCAATTTTCATTCGGGAGTCCTAGTACCAACCCACACGACTTTATACTTGCACTGACGAGCGTATTACATTCCCTGCAAGGTTTGAGAAGCAACCCAAGCCCCTTCAAGCACAGATATTGACAGCTCTATGGCTTTAAGTGTTGACCATAAACCGACTACCGAAATCTACTGTGATTCTGCCACATACGCTCAGCCGAGACACCAGAATACCTGACACCGACGCTATCTGCATTGTGATTGTGTCAGCATAGAGTTATATCGGGATAGCAGTGCTTGGTAACCTACACTATTAATATTTGTTGATAGTATGACTTTATTCTTATATTCGCTGAATGCAGAACGTATAACAGCATCTGAGTTTAGGGCTGTAGGTGTACGTTTGTTACTGCACCCTTGGCCGTGTAGTTAAATCGCAGATACGACACTAATACCTGCGGCCGGACCCATTGCTCTCAATAGTGTGCTCGGCATTTCTTTATCTACTATATTATGACTAATTTGAGTGCAGTACTGACCCCTATCTCTTATACTTGCCTAGGGTGTGTGAAGGTGCTCATACATTAATTATCAGTTGGTCGATTGCACATCTATATTTCTTAAAAATTCCATCGGGGACTTCACCTGTACCCTCAATGCCGAGTGGTGTGTTCCAACGTATCTATCTCTGCTGCCTCGTCCCCCCCATTCGTTGGGTTATCGCAGAGACTGTCCCCTGTTGAGGAGCCGAGGCTTGCCTCCACAGCTGGGTCTGCAATTATTTTCTTCTGTTTGGCTCGTTGGTTGGTTCCCCTCTGCGGTACTGACAGGGTATCGCGTGGCTCAGACTTTGGCTGCTCTGATGCTCCACTGGGAATGTAAATACGAGCCGTTTGCATGTTAGTCTGGTGATTGCGAAGCCAGTGCGACCCTATCGTAATGTCGCGCCTGTTTCAAGTGAGGCAGTTTCTTTTTTAGAACGTTAGTTCGGAACAGAACCAATTTTGGCATCGAATAGAACCAATTTCGGCATCGAATAGAACCAATTTTGGCAACGAATAGAACCAATTTCGGCATCGAATAGAACCTATTTTGGCATCGGATAGAACCTATTTTGGCATCGGATACAATCTATGTTGGCATATGGGACATATTTTCACCGTCTTGTGACCCAGGACCATCCCCAAGGCCAAAGACACAGAAATTGCACTGTTGCATCTACGAGGTTTACCACTCAGGGATACACCAATTGAATTGATGAATCGATTTGACTTGACCAATACGCTGGGCTGATGGTATAGAACGCCTTCAATCATACTAAGTCCGAAGTGAATCGTTGACCTTATACATTCCTTCAATCCTAACAATATCGAGTACTTCGTTAACCATACTACGTTCGAAGTGAATTCATATCGTTGACCTTATACATTCCTTCAATCCTAACAATATCGAGTACTTCGTTAACCATACTACGTTCGAAGTGAATTCATATTGTTGACCTTATGCATTCCTTCAATCCTAACAATATCGAGTACTTCG